CCCTCCCTTCCCTCCCAGCACGCCAATAAGCCATCTAACATCTTGTTTTAACATGTTGGCTGTTAGAGTTATCTTTTCTTTACTGTAAGTTGTTGTTTTTTATTTTTATGTCGTTTATGTTTTTTATTTTGTTCGTTTGTTTCCTTTTGTGCTTTTTTTCGTTCTCTCTTTTTCATTACTTACCTCCCACATTGGTTTTCCCGGCGTTCTTGGGGAGTAAATTTTCTGAAGGCAAAACTTTTAAAAGTTGATAAATGAGCTAATTTACATCAGCCGTTAGAAAGTTCACCTGGCTCATGCGGTCTATATTTCTTTGCATATTTCTATGTCCGCTCACTATCTCGGTTTCCTTTCATGTATTTTTTTCTTCCTTTTATTTCAGGAATCCTTATGAATTAATAAAAACCTATTCGATGAAATATAACTGAACGTTAAGAATGTTTACGCGTAAGTAAGCTTCCGGAGCCATTTCACCAAATTCGTACATTTGCATCGTTTCTCAACCTGGGGCAGATGTGGCATATGACACGAGAAACACACATTTATTCCTTGAAGCATAATTTCTGTTACAGTTCTTTAGTGTACATTTTTCGTTTCTTAGGTGACGCGACAACTCTACCATTAAGAACAGGAACACGACTTGGGGAACCCAGTTGTTAGACAGCCTAAAAAACATTAATTAAGTAATAGCGATTAGGAGGTAAGGATCATTAAAAGAAGGCATAAGAAATTAGGGATTATAAATGGCATGATTCTCCACAGCTTAAGAGCGAATCATTTTGGTAATTGAACAGTTAAAAAGAGCAAGAATCGTGCCAAGATGTAAATGGCGAGTATTATAATAATGATGCTAGAATAGGCTAAAATTGTAACAGATAGCTCAAAAATAGGAAGTTCTGTATTTCACTTTAAGGCCTTTAGTTTATGTAAGTTTTGATATGTCGACTAATTGCATGAGCTGGGAAGGAGGCGCGATGATTGTTGGTCACAATCATCCTGAGTTTGTTGCAATTTTTTTTCTTTAGTTTGTCTGTTTTTTTGTTTGTTTGCTTTTTTTACCACAAACAATTAATCATCGTACATGTAGGCACTGAATCTATTGACTAAAGCCACGTAGATATTTGGAAACGATCTGCGAGATGAACATGAACAGATTAATATTCAAAGGAAGCAGAGTCCACGAATATTTCTTAATTCAGTGTTATCTAATCCTTGACCTCGATGTCCACGTCGATCAAGGGAGGACTTTGGTCAGTCTGTGTTGTCGTTACTAACCCGTTTGGAGCTTTAAGCTCGATAAAAAAAATTGGTTTATAATGGACAGTTTGTAGTATCCTGTTTTTGAGCTTTTAACCCTCACTGAGAGAGTTTACAAACCGGCGACGTCTGGGCAGCACGAAGACTAACTGCATCGACACTGAGTAAAATGCCTTAGGGTATGTTTCTTAAGTTCATCAGGAAAACGTCTGTCACCAAAACTATATAATGTATGGTTTTTTTTTTAGACTGGGGAAAATCCTTGAATTATTTTGATCCCTCCATTTTGTTAAAAACTCAGCAAAACGAAGGTGAGAAAGGTGTTTACACTATGTATACAAAGGCCTTCGTTTGAAGAATGAAAATATATATCTGATGCGATGAATGGTAATAATTAGAGAACGGTGGCATTCTTCGCTGCTTTTGAAAAACTCTCGGTATGCAAATAAATATTTGGTGGTGTGCTCAAGTTAATTAAGTGACCTGAAAGAGATAAAGTCTAGATGACAAGACTTATCCCATACTAATGTCAATCAAGGTCGTTTCGCGATTGGTCACCAAATCATAACTTGGGGAGAGGTTCTATTTTGCCGTTGCTGTGGTTAGTCACCAAAGTTTCTTCCCGACCTTTTACGACATTACAGTTTTGAAAATTAGTAAAACAAATCTCAAGTTGATCTTCAGTTGTTGAGAAAGAAAGAATTCAGAAAGTTTCATTCACCCATGACCCAAATTGTACAAAAAATTTGGGATTTTAGTCGTTGGAATGATTCTTACCACGAATTCTTGAAACAGTGCATGCGTGGAAGTAATGTTTTTCCAGTAGGCTCTCATAACTACTTATAACTGCTATATTAAAAAAAAAATTATATTTATCTGTAATGACAAACGCTGATAGTCTGAGACAGATAGTGCTCTGTCGATAGATGCTTTAGTAGCACAACCTATCATGCAGACAAGATAAAACAAACAACTGAATGATGATGCATTTGCATTTGTGGGCCCAGCTTTTTTTATTGTCTTTTAAGCATATGGAGCACAGGTTTTACATACAATCGATTTTTAAATGGTGGAACCATAGGGGGAAAATAAAACAATGGAAAACACGCAAGTGAAAGCGAAAAGACAGACACTATGATACGATCGCGACTAGTTTTGACGTTGATTTGAGAAATATTGGGTGCTGTTGGCGATCGATTGTTAGACAGACTTTTCTTAATTCATTTGCAGAAATTGGAAACTTTAGAAAGTCGTGTACATGTGAACAGCAAAGGAACCCTTTTGTCGTTCCATATGGCAGATACAGATGTTTCCTTTACTTGCTATTTTAAGTTCTGATCGTTTTTGTTGCGCCCTTCCTATTTAATTGATTTTTTAATTTGTTTTACCTGACTGTTTGAAATGGGGAAAAGAAAAAATGGAGCTCATAGATCGACCATGGCCAAACAAAACTAAAGTTTTTGCTAACAGCAGTATAACTAAAGCCGCATATAGCGGACTGCCATTGAATTCCGTTAAATACGAAGTGTTTTCTTGATGTATAGGTTACCCTAACTTCGGATAATTAAGGACGATAACCCGTCGGTCCCGTCTCCTGCATCTCGTCTGCACTGGTTAGAACTCATGCAATTCTCGTAAAGATTAGGGAACATAGCTCTCGGTGTTGCGATCTGGTCTTGTTATTGTTTAAAGAACCCCATAAGTATTGAGACTGGCGAGGTAGTAAAGGGAGAGGAAGAAGGAAGAGGAAAAGCCTGCGCAATGATTTCATATAGGAGTTTACAATAGAAATTTTGGTCCCCGTTTCAATCCCCTTCTCCCAGTGTTCCTGTGTGGCTATTGATTCACTTTCTTTATTCAAGAGAGAGCATCAATCCAGCACAAACTCCTTCGTGTTAAATTTATATTCTTCTTCGATAAGAATTTGTTACGATTTAACTATGTCGTAATTACGTACACTTATCTATGGTCATTGTCGTAGATGAAAACTACTACTATCAGAGGGTGATCTTTACTATTTACTCAGCTGTAATTTTTTGTATATTTACCATCATTTATTTCAATTAATTCATCTTAATTCTTAACCTCAATCCTGTTCTCCCTATGGTTTCAACTCTCCTTGCAGTGTATTCCTGAGCCATAGATGTCAGTCCACCATTGCTAATTGAAAATTTCATCACAGAGGTAGTCTTGCCAATCATGCTTAACACAGCTCTTCTAAATCTCCGGTATTTTATAGAGTAGATGATAGGGTTACAGCAACTGTTCGTAAATCCTACAAGCATCGACACTGTGCTGTAAGGTCCTTCAACTTTTTGCCCTGTTCCGATCTCAATGAAGAGCAAGACACAAAAGGGAGACCAGCATATGAGATAAACTAAAGTTACTATCATTAAAGTGGCTAATCCCTTATTTCTCTTTAATTTCCTTGCCTCTCTGTTATTCACTCGCTGCTTTTGAGAGCTTAGTGTAACATCTCCAATGCGTTGGTGTTGACTTCGAATTACCCGCGCAATCTTCCAGTATACGAATGCCATCATCATCAATGCTAATCCATAAGTTCCTGAAACAACGGAAATTGCAAAAGCAAAGTTTAACCCATACTTAGACCAATCCTCCGCCTTACATGTGCCAATGTAGGTAATAAAGCACTCGTACGAGCTCACTCCGAATAACGGCAAGAACGCCCAAATGGCAGAGTATATCCACAACACAAAACACAAACAAATGGCGCGCGACTTTGTCATTTCAAGTGGATAAAATAGTGGACGAACGATTGCAAGGTATCGATCTATGGAAAGCATCATCAGGTGCATGATAGATGAAATGCAAAAAAGAAAGTTTCCAAAACCATTACATATGCCCCATATTCTTCCACATCTCCACCAACCGCTGTGAACAGCGTCCAGGGCGCCTGGCATTACCAGAATGGCCACAAGAAGATCCGCAGTCGACAAAGAAACTAAAAAGTGAGAGTTAACGAAGGAGTTGAGAGCCCTTGAGTAACGAAGGACGATCATTACGGTAATATTTCCGATGATTGTTAAAACAAGAACCAAGGTCATTATGATCATAATAAGAATAGTCCAGCTGTAAGGTAGATTAACAAGCTTGATGTTTTTTTCTTCACTCTCGGTAGAGTTTCTAGCCATTGTAGTTCCGTTCATGACGTCTATTGTCAAAACAATGAAGGAAAAAAAGATCCAATTAACTTAGGCTTTTAATGCACGTCAGGTATATTGACTCTGCATATATACATTTCTATTATTAAACTTGCAAATTAGATCACGAAATAGAACACATCACCTTGTACCAAACATGCCATATTTTTTTAAATAAGTATAAAAAGATCCTTTAGTCGCAAAAATCAGCACTTTTCTGATAATACGTTGGTCAGGACTGGTTCTGCATCAACATTTCTTTTGGAAAACAAGAAACGCAGTTATGAAACATATTGAAAATTTATGTCATTCGAGAACTTTATAATTACGAGCGTGGATTTAACACTGAAGCCCTTCTTATTTACCGGTTTACTTAGAAGCACTAGTTAAGTACAAAGAAAAGAGAGGAACTCAGCATGGCTTAAAGATGAAAAAGTTATTTGACGTTGGGAAAGAATGACTTCGGTGAAAAGCGAGTTATGAAAAAGCGAAGGCCCCAGTATTATTTAATGTTTCACAAAACTATCCGGCTCCACTCACTCAGCTACACAGGCGGGATGCTCCGCCGTGATATGAATTTTCTCAAAAGCCTCTTGACTGAACTAACTGAACATAGATAAAGGAATACGTTCGTTCAGACTGGACAGATTCACAAGAGTACATGTTGAAGAGAAAATGTGTTACTATCTCACGTACTTCCTCTCATTTTGCAATCAACACTTATCAAATTTACTTATACTACCGTTTTGAATATCCACTAAAGTATTATCTGCATTTATATTCTGGAGCGAGTTTTGTGGTATTTTATCTAACAATATTTTCATCAGCCGTTTCTTTTTTTCTTTCTAGGTTCATGAGTCATGATGATGATGTTGATTCTGAAACCTGAAAGGTTAATTGTTTTCAGGTCAATAATTGAGAATTTTCAAATGCAATTTTCATCAAACTTTTTTTCTGCATTCAGTTATTACGCTGATAAATTTCATTATATAGTATATAGTGATATTATTGCTGAATGAGTGATAATTGTGACAGCATTTTTATCAGCCTGTTTACCCTGGGTTTTAACGATACTAAACTTGAAAATTTAAATATTATCTCGTAAATTATTAATAATGCTCGGGAATATCAGAAACGAAAGCACGAAAAACTGTATCTGTCAGTACTTGAAAAATATGGGACTACTAACTCAAAAAATAATCTCGACACATCCGCAAAATATTACACACCGGGCAGCTACAGCTATCTTAGGGAAAACGTAAAAGCGAACGATAGAAGACAAGTGATATTGCTTATTTGCAGGACACACTAGCAGATGGTTTATGTTTGAAAGAGGTGCTCAGTGGAGGTGAATGAAGTTACAAATATGTTTCCTAAATGTTGACGGTTACGAACTGTTCCGACATTACTGAAATGAATCAAGTAGCGGATATTAGGCAGTAGAGAAGATAAAAATCTCAAGGAGCCCGGTCCACCCGGTGATGTCACTGAAGATGAAAAATCCAATATCTTGAAAACAGTCTTGAATATTAATTGCGTAGTTTTTTTTCATATATATTCTTTTTACCTTTATGGTTGGAATATGAGGCCCCTTTAATCCGGCTGACTATTCTGTTTTTACTTATTAAACCTCTCTGCGAAGCTGTTTTCGGTTTATTTTTCACTTTCTTACACACTTCTTTGTCAATAGGGGTCTGCCTCTTTATTTAGTCTGTCAGTGGCCTGTAGTGCACGCTATGAAATGATTCAACTTTCAAGTAAGGTTTACCAAACGACATTCAAATATCTTCAAAAAATTAACAAATACTTTACCTGAAGAAGGGACGGCCCCAGTGACTATCGACAGCAAGAACAAAAACCGTGGTTACTTCTTAAACCCGTGGATGCGACGATTGGGCAACTCGAAGTCACAGTTAGTTCCAAGGGTACCTTTTCTGCCGCATAAAAGAAAGTATCAAGCCGTTTTCAGTTTTTTAAAAATGTCCTTCTTCTTGTTATCGACAGAGCAATGATTTTAAACGGAATTTTTACTAACAAGTCAAACAGAGCTATCTTTTGCTCTTGTTTCGTTTGAAAGGTGGAGTACTGACTCAAAATAAACTCCTTGTTGCTTTATAAAATTGCACGCGACTCCCTATTTACATCTAATTGAGCAACGTGGGCGGTATAAACTCACTACTGATTGGCTAGAGGCTGAAAGATGGCAGTCATCGAAAAAAACCCAACCACTGAGCTAATGAGTTGTTAAAACAAGCATCTACTAAAACATGGATTGGATTGGATTAGTTTTAAACGTGGATTAGATTGGTTTGGATCAGTAAAACATGGATTAGTAAATGATGGATTAGTAAATGATGGATTAGTAAAACATGGATTAGTAAAACATGGATTAGTGAAACATGGATTAGTAAAACATGGATTAGTAAAACATGGATTAGTAAAACATGGATCCAGTCCATGTTTTACTAAATTCCTGTTTTATTTGCGTGGAAAGTGAAAGTTGTGAAATAAGGGGTAACATGCAAGAACTAAAGCTAACCAGTAGCCGGGATATGCCGAGGCATTCCGAAAACGCATGGAACACGCCGGAAGATAGTAAATCACTGCGTATTCACAAGCCGAAAAAATGGTGAAGTACCAAGAAATTATACACGAGTCCATTGTGGTTTCTCAGGGGATCATTGGCCGCAAACGCCTGGGAAAGCTTTCTGACCTCTAGGTTAACCGCAAGGTAAACTGATATTTTCCCAATCTGCATGAAACACTGAGAAAGCTTTCTGACCTCTAATAAATGTAAGATTCAGAGCAGCAAAAGTAAGTTTTAGTCAAATTTTAGAGTACTCCGTGCACTCATCGACTTGACTAGATCGTCGATACTGTCCATCTTCACTGTTTTCAATGGATTTTTACAAATATCCTCTTACGCGGGGTACCTTAGTATGTGTGAAGAGTTGGTGTTAGAAGGCTATGGGGAGGACCCGTTGAGAGAGATTCGACTAGGGTCCAGGTTGAACGCGCATTAACGGTCTCTCAGCTACACAAGAAGTTCCTTCCGCGCATTAGAAGAATTCAGAACGGCCGTTAATTTGAAATTCTCGCTGGATTGGTTGCTCGACAAACCGACTTTTGTGGGATTTTTTTCGGTGAACTTGAAGGGAAACTATTTGGCTTTCGTGCTGCCGAGTTTTGATTCGAGGGAAAGTATTAAGTGTTGTTTTCCAGCGATTTTAGCGAGCATGTGTCAACAGAAGTTTCCGACCTTCCCGTATTTTATGCACGGTAATTTAGGACGTCAAGCTAAAACACATCAAAACGGCCTCAAATCGCGAAGAGAACAACGCAGACTACTCTCTATGAAGGTAAGACTTTATTTCTTTGATTTTTTCGCACAACTTTACATTTACGGAGCTCAAAGGCAAGTCCAACTAAACCACTATCACTGTGGAATAGCCTGTGACAGAGCTTGGGCCACCTGTGGTAAAACTGCGTTTGAGGTAAATTGAACCGAAGGATGACAGACACTTTCAAGTTTGCTTAATTACATGTTGACGAGTTTGATCCAAATTGAATATTAATAATTGCTGTGGTCATGAAGGCAAACTTGAAAAACTACCCTGACTTCGACAATTATCGTAGACAGAAATTCAGTCGCTTTAACTGAGAAAAACAGAGAAGAGATGAAAACATTGCAATACAAACAAGCAGACGAACACGCAATAAAACACAACAAAACAAAACAAAAGTAAAAAAATAATAAAGTAAAATAGGTCTAACGAAGAAGATTAATCTGGATTTTACGACGATGTATCACAGCTGGAGAGTTTAGTTTCCAACGAATTACGTGCCGATTAAAAGCAATACCAATCAAGAGAACGAACATTACATATCCGTGTTTTCAACGAGTTTTCCGTTAAACGCAAGCTTGTCTGGTGCTCCGAAAAGCCGCAAGAATGAGGGAGAAATCTTTCTCATTTCATTGATACGATTTTCCTTAGCGTTACGCTAAGTCGTGCCTCCTACGTGACTCGTAAAACAAGCCTGTAAAAAAAAAAAGGGACTTTTTTTACAGGCATGATGTTTAAAAGTTACATTTAAAAGACCCAGTGCTTGTTGTTCAGATAACGCACTTTACATTCTCACCTGTATACATCCTTGACCTTCGAAATTTTGCAAACGGTTTCCTTGAGGTGTAAAATGTGTCCTAAGCTCTTCAAGACCATTTCTACCTCATTTTCAGGTCAATTTTCAATGAATGGCAGACAAGGCTATTTCAGTTGAGTCGTGAGCGAATCGATAAAGAACTGTATCACTTCACCTTGGAATTTATGAAGGGTTAGGCCTGACGTTACTTTAAATAAAGTGGATTTGGTTCCGCAAAGAACAATTAGGGATACCTTAAAAACCACTGCTTGAACGTCTTTCCGCTCCTTTAGCAGCGGAAAACCAAACAGAGAGGCTAAATGGTGGGGGGAGGGGGGGAATTTTTAATTTTACTGTTAATTTTTTTCTGATTTTGGCGCGTGGCAGCTAGATTCTATGGCTTTTGGCGGTTGATGATTGATATTGAAAAATTTCCTTTATCAATTTAAACAATTAAAAAATCTAATAGAGTAATTATAATTTAGCCTTCAAACAAAACTGCGGTCAAAGACAATTTTTTTCTTTTTTTTGGTCTTGTCACGAGCGTGGGACGAAGAAAAATATTGGAGTTCCAATAAGGAGTCGAATTTTGCACTTCAGTGCCCGACTGAGACATAAAGAACTCTTCGGTGTACTTTTAGCTCATAGGGACCCTCCAAATAGTGTTCCTAAACTGACTAAAACGTGATTCATATGCCAAGAAATAACGATGCAACAAGGTACATTGTAATTCGATATTTTCACGCAGTATTGCAGAAGAAAAATCCTTCGAGTTTTCATACAAATCATTTTCAATGGCGTCTTTGTATCATAAAACTGGCCACTAACAGGAGTCATATTCAGGGTTCTCATGTCTTAATCTTGGGCTGCCTTTGATTCAGAATCAAAGGGGCAAGGGAGAATATATCATGATTTATTATATACTAAAACAGTGGATGGCGTTGAAGGCGCGCTCTGATTAGCTAGTCAAACTCCCAATATCCTTTGCTATTTACCTCCGAGCAACTCGGGAAAAAATGGCGTCCCGGTTTCCATTCGTGACAAGCGAAGAAATCACTCAAATAACGACGGTGGTGTATATTATCTCACTGTTTTAGTATATACTAAAACAACTATTCCCCGAAGTGGAAGTGGTTAGTGGTGGATATTTACCTCGTCGCTACGCGGCTCGGTAAATAGGGACCTTAAGCAACCACGACGGCGACGGCAACAAGACGTGGAAAAACAAAAGATCTAATTGGCAGAACAGTAGCTCAGCACGTGCATTTTGAAACTTTGTACATTTCTTAGCCGTTCTATGCAAAACAACAACGTGAAATCGCC